TCAAAGCTCCACAACTCGTCCAATAAAATCATTTCAGATTAATGAAGTCAATTAATCGGAGTTTCGACAACTTGCTACCGTCACAAGAGAAACATTTTTTTTAATTATATGTAGACATATTGATTTATCAAGCAAATATATTCATATTTCAGCAAAACAAATCATCTAGCATTATCTATTAAGATTCTAGTGGATCTTCATTGGTATTTCATTATATAAAAAATAGAGTAATAATTAATAAAAATAAAATTAAAAAGATGGTACTGGATTTAATTAGGGTTTTTCATTCTTATATATAATATAAAAATATTTAAAGTTACATATTATCAGTGAAATTATAATTAATAAACCTTTTAACCTAGTTAATACAGACAAACACTCTTTAAACCTGGGATTCTCTCTCTATACGTCAAAACAAAGTCTCTCTCTCTCTCTATATCTCCCTCTCTTTCTCTCTCATCCTATACACACACACATTTCATCACCATGGGAGAGCACATGTGACTGTGTTTGACAAGTGACGACTACCCTTGCCACGTCAGCAACCCGCATGCCCTTACTTTCTCTCTCTATCTATTCCCCCACTCTCTCTCTCTCTCTAGAAAAAAAAGAGAAAAAACTCACAAGCATCTACTTGAATTCTTTAATAATACAGAAGAGGATTTATGAAAACGGAAGAAAGAAAGAGAAAAACAAAAAGCCCCACATCAAGTTTCCGATTTACCCATATATATATATATACCACTAATATATACATACACATTACACATATATATACACAAAAATCCCAATCGTTTCATCATCCCCAAAGAGCTGTCTTTTTTATTTTTTTTGGGGGGTATATATAAGTATAAGATATATACGTACAGGTACAGCTACCGTTCTTGAGTGTACAGTACACAGTGATGTAAAAGCTACAAAAAAAAAAGATTAAATTTTTATTTGTGTTTTAATTGATGGGAGTGTAAATGGGTTCACTTGAAACCGGGTTTCCATCGAAGAGGAACAATTATTACAGTAACAACAATGGATTTTCAGGGCAAAGGAGCAGATCAAGATTTACAAGATTGGTTTTTTTCAAGAGAGTTGACTATCTGCAGTTGATTTGTGGGGTTGCTACTTTGTTCTTCTTTGTTTTTCTTTTCCAGGTTTTCTTCTTGCCCGGAGAAGATGGTAATAATAATAATAAATCTGGTAATAAAATTAATGATTTAGTTGGGGGAAATGGGGGAGCAGTTTTTGATGAGCTGTTGTTCTTGAAAGAGTTGGATTTTGGTGAAGATTTAAAGTTTGAGCCTTTGAGAATCTCGGAAAAGTTTCGAAAGAATGGCGATTTGTCGAAAATGGTTGCGAGATTTGGGTATAGAAAACCGAAGATTGCTCTGGTTAGTTTTGTTTTGGTTTAATTGAATTTTCAGTAATTAAATTATGAATTTTTGGGTTCGATTAGTTTATTTTCGGAGTTCGTGTTTTGGTTGGTTAGTGTTTGTTTGTGTGTGTTCTGAATTTCGTAGTTCGATTTTGGTTTCGGGTAGTAGCGTTAAAAGTGTGTGTGTGTGTGTGTGTTTGAAATGTGGGTGTAGGTATTTGCAGATCTAGTGGTTGATCAACATCAAATACTCATGGTTACTCTTGCTACTGCATTGCTCGAGATCGGATACGAAATTGAGGTGATTTACCAATCAATTATCCACAATTTTTTTTTAATTGAAATTTTGCTGAGATACCGATGTGTGACCGACAGACTCAAGGTAATTAATTGTTTTTGAGTTGATTATATCGACACTTTCGAAATTCTGAAATACGAGTTACGAGCATTGTGGTGTATTTAATTGTTGCTAGAAATCGGAAAATCATCGGTGAAATTTGTTCTGAATTTTTTTTAAAATTGAAATTTTGCTGAGATAAATATGTGTGTTCGGCTCAAGGTAATTAATTATCTTTGAGTTGATTAGATCGACACTTTTGAAATGCTGAAATATGAGTTACGAGCATTGTGGTGTATTTCATTGTTGCACGAAATCGGAAAATAGTCGGTGAAATTTGGTCTGAAATGTTGTTATTTTGCAGGTATTCGCACCGGAAAACGGGCCCACACAGGCTACCTGGAGAGAGATAGGAGTTCCAATTAGCGTTATCGCCACATCAGACGAGAACATCAACTGCAGTGTCGATTGGCTAAAGTATGAATATCAATCACCCTTCGTTTTTTCCCGATGGATAAATTTATTTACTATTTTTCTTTTTAATCGAATGAATCGGTGTTTTTCCCTTATTATATATCCAATTCAACCACTGAATGCTCAAAATTCCGATTTAGATACACTCCATAATATATATTCTAATTTTGTGTTTCTGTCCGCAGCTATGATGGCATACTCGTAAATTCACTTAAATCCGTGGGTTTCTTGTCTTGGTAAGCAAGCATTCATTTCGTTTTGTAAACCATCAAATACCCTCGATTTTATTGATGATATAATAATTTTTCCGATGAAATAAAAGGTTTTACTTGTTACAGTCTAATGCAGGAACCTTTTAAGAATATTCCTCTCGTATGGACGATCCACGAACATACACTCGCCTCTCGATTGAGAACATACGTTTCGAGTGGGCAGAGTGAGCTCGTAGATACCTGGAAAAGATTCTTCTCCCGAGCCACTGTGATTGTCTTCCCAAACTATATTCTTCCGGTAATTATTTTCTTACTTTTTTTACTTAATTTTTTTTTTTTTTATTCTTAGGCCTCGTTTGATTGGTGAAATTAACCATCATTGATTAAATAATTAGACCTTATTGGTTGTTTGGTTAGTCCAATAAATTTTCGGGCCGGGCCGTAAGTATGAAAAACAATTACTCTAATCTTGGCTATTTGAAAGATTATTCATTGACCTCCAAACAATACAGTTGGATTTTTTCATAAGATTATTTAATCTTATCTCGACTAATATTATCCTGGAAACCAAACGAGGCCTTACTACTTTGGCCTATTCCTCGAGTGGATTTTTGAATTATCCATGAAAAAATTTACGTTTCTCCATTTTTCGGTGGTGTTTGCAAATGATTATTTAAAAGCAGAAGTTAGTGATTGTGATTTAAGTTAGTTTTAAGTGCTTATTTCTAAAAGTTGGGGGTGTTTGCAAAAATTTTGAAAAATGAACTAACATTGAAAAAGCAGGGTTAGGGGTGCTTTTAAAAAAATAGCTTAAAGCAGATTATTTTAAGAGAAGCAAAAGCAAAAGTTGATTTTGCAAACACCTAAAAACAGATTATGAGCAAAAAAAACCGCATAATCACTTTCAAAAAGCATTTGCAAACACCACCTTCATGCCAAAGATTAAACAATCTTCTGTAGGCCTCGTTTGGTTCCCAAGATAAAATTATACAATTCTATCAGAACCCGATTGTATTATTTGACTACGGGAGGTTCTATACATAATACCCTAAATAAGCCAAAAAATACGACCTCGTTTCTCCATAATGGCTTGTCTCACCAGCCAAATGAGGCCTAACTAGATACATTTATTTTCTAGTTATCATCCTAATATAAAGAAATTCAAATTCTAACGAACAAATTTATAGACATTTGTCCTGATTAAAATTAACCGGTTTTTATATACGATTCAGATTGAATATTCAATATGTGATCCTGGAAACTACTTTGTCATACCGGGATCTCCAGAAGAAGCTTGGAAAGCCGATAAACAATTGGCTTTGCCGAATAATAATAATTTACGCTCTGAGCTGGATTTCGGACAAGACGATTTTGTTATTGCAGTTGTGGGAAGTCAACTATCATATAAAGGCGTTTGGCTCGAACATGCCTTTGTATTACAGGCTCTATATCCGATTCTTACACACTTCGAAGATTCTAGTTCCCGTCTTAGAATCATCGTCTTAGGTGGCGATTCCACCGGCAACTATAGTACCACTGTGGAGGTAAGAGCAATTTATATATTATTTTTTAAGTATTTTTTTTTTGTAAACTATTTTTCTTGTATGCTGATATATGGGATTTTGTACCGACAGACAATTGCTCTAAAATTGGGATATCCAAACGAAACGGTGAAGCGTGCCACTATCGACAGAAACACAAACACTTTGATAAATACCGCCGATCTTGTAATATACGGTTCCTTCCTCGACGAGCATTCTTTTCCAGACATTTTGCTCAAAGCCATGTCTCTCGAAAAACCAATCGTCGCCCCAGATTTACCAGGAATACGAAAATATGTACGTATCTTCAGCGCACACACACACACACACACACACACACACACACACACACACACACACACA